GAAGCTTTGAAACTAATGATCGAAAACCGTAAAGAACGGGCTATTGTAGAACGTGCTAATCGTAAAGAAAAACGTGCTCCCAAATGGTATAGGGAATTGAATTCACAAGATAAAGAAATACAAGATATGAAAAGCACTATCGAGATGTTAAAAAATCAAATATTGGACGATAAAAAGGGTTTGGTTGTCGAAGATAAAAATGAAGAACCTGCTAAACGAACAGGTTTACATGATGGAGTTTTTTAGCATGAACCGCCCATTGTTCGACAATCCGCGTATAAAGAGGCGGAAATCATGTATAATTTTGGACCAATGGATCGACTTAGTTTATTGCGTAATGTTTTGTGTTAAATATCATATGCTCGTGATAATCTCGTTGTTTTTGGTTTCATATTTTGCTGTATTGTCCGTACATGTGTCATAGTATTAATCCAAATATCTATATTATGTTCATTTTCAATAGAATACAGTAGTCTAAGTATAATAGTAACATCATTAACCATATCTTATAACCGATGGTCTATTTCTTTCTGATATTTCTTTATCTATTACCAATTCCAGATTTTCAAACAGTGATTCATTTTGTTTTTTCATCATCAAATGATCAGAGAAAAACAGATTTGGATAGCTATTTTCTTTATCATATTCAAATACCATGATTATATTATTATTAGATTTTAATTTAATTTTTTTATACACATACATTTGTCAGGTATTTTTAATTGTTTTTTTACACAAATATCGTTGTTATCATAATGTTCGATTAGAAATTCGAGACTGTTCCAGAAATTATTCCAATTTTTAATGACTTTAAACGAAACTCCTTTATATTTTAAATCAATAAGATCGTCTACAATTCTTAAGGTTCTCTCCTAATTTTTGTGGGTGTGTGTATTAATCAATAAACATTTCTCATGGTAAAAATTACTTGGTTTATTTTCGTCGTCGTTATGATCTTCGTCATTTTGTTGTAAATTATTATCCATATCAACTTCTGCACATATTCTACACGTCTGTACGTAATAGCCCATATTTATATATTACGATGGAAAAAATAATATAATTATCGCAACACAAATTGCCGATTTGCTTCTTATCCCGAGAATAGTGTGTGTGTATGTGTTATTGCTTTGCCGATTTGCTTCTTATCCCCGAGAATAGTATCTGTGTGTGTTATTATTATAATTACTATATTTATACCTTTTTTTACACAGAAGAAGAGATAATACAGAAGTTAAACGAAAGGGGGGGTAGGGGGGGTAGGGGGGGTGGTAAAAAAGTCCCCATAGGCGGAATCGGGGCTCGGCGTAATATGGCCACGCCGATTATCTGATAGAATATAGAAAAAGTTTTTTACTACCCCCCCTACCCCCCCTACCCCTCCCTTTTCAAATATACCCCCCCCCCTTCGATCAACTTAATTATTCTTGATAACGATTTTTGGGGCTTCAATAAATTTAAGAAATTTAATCCCACCTTTTTTTACTGTGTCGATATTACATTTTGCGTCATATACACCAATACCAATACTATTAAACATTTTGCCAACAGCTTGCGATGTAGTTGTATAGTTTGCGGATGCCAATATCATAAAAATGCCTTGGGTGTGTAGTCTAGCTTCTGAATTTTCAGTAGTCACAAACCTTTCGGTTACATATGTAAGCATATCATCACATTCTTCATATTTCGTTTGGTTTATCGCGTCTAAAATTGATTGCGGTGCCTTCTTACGAGTTTTTGTAAACGCATTCAGAATATACAAAGTATAAGCGTCAATAATTCGCTCCTCGGTAATGAACAATTTGATAGTATCGTCCTTTAGTTTTAGAAATTTACAAGTTGGGTTGAGTTTATCAGCATCTACGAACTTGCTCTTATAATCGAATTGTCTTAAATTTTCAGAAGCATCGGCAGGTTCACATTTATAATAGTTATTGTAGCACAAGACCATAGTAAATTGTGGTTCAAATCCTATCGCATTCTGGTAATTTAAACGTCCTTCCATTTCATCACCACCAGATGCTAACGTTTTAATAAAACCTCCATTGAGAACATTTTTCTCATTCCCTTGAATTTCATCACTAATAATAATACGACAGTGCCTTTTTGTCAAAACCCAACCCAATGCTTTCGCGGGATCAATCGAACTTGACTGTTTTGAATACACCAAACATTTACTATCAAACTCCGACACATAAACGCCGAAACCTTTACGTAAAAGCTTAATTTCGGTGCCCTTTCCAGAGTCACGCATACCACAATAACCATACCATTTCTTATCTTCGAAGCAACCAGCCAATGCGCGAGATTAAACATGTGCGTTATAATTACGTTCTTCTTCGTTTGGATATATCGGTATTAAAACGCGTTTCATCATTTCATCCTGATCTTTTTGATTGAACTCGGGGAAGTTCCTAATTATATTTTGTGTAAAATTAACATCGGGCAATTCATCATACGAGTATAGTTTTTTATCAACGAATGAACATATACCATCGTTAAACGGTAGATACATTTTATTGTTATTTATCATATCCTCAACAAAAGTATTATGGACAATATCCATATTTGTATTAATATCTTCGATGCATTCTTTACAATTTTTAATATTACCGCTATATGAAACCTCCTCTCGATTTGTATTTAGATAATAAATATCGATATCGCGCATGAATTTCGTAAGTAAGTCACTTGTTAATTTTGTTTCACCAACCCAAAATTTTTGGTATTTTGTATATAGAACACCATTACATTTAACAATATTGTCTTTGTAACGCTTAATGACGATCTCGCCAGCCAACTTACTTAATTTATACGGCATTACAGCACTTTCAAAAAATGGGTCTGCTTCTTCTTCGATAAATGGAATGTCTAAACTAACAAATTTATCAATCATTTCAGTATAAATATTTTCTGGCTTATAATTCTGAAATTTAAACGAAATAGCCAATCCAGTCGTTTGATAAATGTGTGTGTTAGTTTCCTCGATAAGCATATCCTTATCATATTCTATTTTAAACGGTGGGATGCATAGACCGTCATATTCTAATCGATATCTATATGGAAGCATTATGCCTTTTTTGTATCACAGAACCGCAACAATATGTAATATATATACTGATAGGGATTCAAGCTGGCGTCTGACTGTTCTGAATGTTTTGCTGGTCTGAGCGCTGCGTCGCCCATTGCCTGCTGCGTGCCTTAGTCGGCTGCGCTGGCTTGGGCGCCACCGCGCGTGCCGATGGATCTCCGGTAGTGTGCCCGGGCAAGGGCGTTTAGGGAGATGATCTGCTGGTTGCTGTTTGTCGTGTTCCCAAGCTGGGATCAATATGTAATATATGGTTTTCAATCATCTGAAACCAATACGACGCGGTACTACCCTTCTTTTCATACGGTGTTTTACTATCCTTCGTAACTTTTGCGACAAGACCCTTGTTGTTTTTATAAACCTCATTATTAAAACGCACGATATCATTCTTAAAATTTGCAATAAAATCTAATCTCATTGTTGTATTACGTAGTTTCTTAGTTTTTTCCACCTTTTTTGGATCGCTTAATGCCTTCTCCCATGTCGTAAATCCACCGCCGTAAATAATTGCGTTAAATAGCATTTTAACATCGCCATCGTCTAAAATATTATCTGCGTCGGCACTATAATACTCTGATGTCTCTTTAATAATAGTGTCAAAATTGTCGATTTAGTACTGTACACCAATGAGTGGAGTCATGCCACAAGTTTTAGCCATTTCGACCGCAATAGTGGGGTGTCCTTTAACCATGTCTAAATCAGAATAGCCCAAGTGTTTAAAAATTGTGTGTTTTACCTTCTTATATTGTGATACAATGCTTTTATTGTATTTAGGATAATGGCGCCCACACCCACCACCAGAATATTCATATACTACATCCAGCATATTGGTTTTTTTATTGATAGAGTTGTATAGCGTAATTAGCGAACGTTTAATTTCTATATTAACATCAGCTTCGTTAATAATAATGTCTAAAAGTGGTGCTTCTATATACTCCTTAAAATGTCCCTGAAATTCTGGGTATTTAGGTATGGCTTTTAGCATAATTGGGTGTTGTTCATAAAGGGTTAATTGTTCGATTTGGTTGATGTCATAGTTCTATATTAAGCTTAGATAATAATCCATAAGAATTTAGTCATTTAAAACAAAATCATTTTTTTTTCACCGGCAAAATTCATTGACCGGCAACTTGGATATTTTTGAGTTCAAGCCTTTCCATCTTTTTCCGAAAAGCATATTGTTTATTATATGCGCATTTCCATGCTTTTACGTTAGGGTCTAGATACTTTTCACGTGTATTGTGTAGCATCTTCTCGCGAAATTCAGCATCAGTGTTATATTACTGAAAGGGATTCAAGCTGGCGTCTGACTGTTCTGAATGTTGTGCTGGTCTGAGCGCTGCGTCGCCCATTGCCTGCTGCGTGCCTTAGTCGGCTGCGCTGGCTTGGGCGCGGTGACCGCGCGTGCCGATGGATCTCCGGTAGTGTGCCCGGGCAAGGGCGTTTAGGGAGATGATCTGCTGGTTGCTGTTTGTCGTGTTCCCACGCTGGGCAGCGATCAGTATTATATTTATGATAGGGATTCAAGCTGGCGTCTGACTGTTCTGCATGTATTATTGATATATAGTGTTTTGATCGTTTAGCATTCAGTTTTTATATAGCATAACTTTTGTAAAATTCATAAGAATCGACGGCTTAGATCTAAAGCTGCGCGGCGGCGGCGGCGGCGCGTGGCGCGGGCGGTTGGCGGCGGAACGCCCGAAGGTCAGGCATCGGCATCGCGTGCGCGCACGTGCTGCACCGCTTTTTTTAACAGCGGCGATTTTGTACAATTTTGTAAGCTTTTGAATAATGCCAGCTTAGTGGTGGTGAGCATTTGGAGTGGAGTGGGTGCATTGGAACGCATCCTACGCAGACAAGACGGGGTGCACCAACTGAAGATGGCAAAGGGCATATCCTATAAAAGTAAAAGTTGCTCCGGAGGGGCTCGAACCCTCGACCTCGCGATTAACGGTCGCACGCGCTAACCAACTGAGCCACGGAGCAATTCGATGCTTATGTGTTTAAACTTTGTGTAAATAAACCTATTGACTACATGTGCATAAACACCGCTCGCAGCACGAAAAACGCATCCGTCTCATTGCAGGTGTCCGCGGCGCCTGCTGCCTGCCCCCCCCCTGACCCCTAATGCAGGTGGCCGTGAGAAGGCACCTGCTGCTTTCTGCCGCAAGGCCATCACCGCCATTGAATTTACTTCGCGCGCGGCCGCAGCGAATTCGGCGAGCAGAGCCGCCGACGCAGGTGGGGCATAGACTCGAAGGCGGATCACTTGAAGAGTCAAAGGGACGAAGATGGACATGGCCTTGCGTGCAGTCAGGCCTCGCCCCGCTACTCGTCGCGGCCTGCTGCTGCTCGTCGCGGCTCTCGTGGTGCACGGCAAACCGGTGAAGAGCAACGAGCTGCACCCCGTGTGCGCGGAGCTCTTGCGCCGTGGCCCAGTCCCGTGGCGCCAGTCCCGTGGCGCAAACACCGCGAGCGGGCGCGGTGGGTCGCACCTGCGGTTTGTGTCGTATACGCCGAACCGGCTCGAGCTCGAGTGGTTCCAGCGAATCACACGCGCGAACCCGCGCAACTGTACGGCGTGGCAGAGGGGGGGTCCCCTCTGGCAGGCGCTTGCCGGACTACCCTCGTCAACTGGCCCCGTCAGCAAGCAGCTGCGCTCACAGATGCACTTCGTCGAGCCCGCGACCTGGGAGCATATGTCGAGCGAATTCGAGCCGTTAGTGGGCTCTCTGCGGCACCACAGCTTGGGCGTGCGCGCGAACACGTCCACAAGAGCTGCGCTCATGAGCAAAGAGCATTGCATCCTCCCCGACACTACGCTCCTCCGCCGCACCCTCGACGCCGGAGGGCGCCTGCTCTTCTACGACGTGGGGGCTTCGTTATCTAGCTCGGGCGCCGGTGGCGATGCGCCAGTCAGGAGTGGTTCACCCGGAAATACGGAATCAAGGCCGGACGTCCATATCCCGGCTTCGACATGATCTGGGCGTGGGAGGCGATCCCCTACGTGCCCAGTAAGCTCTGGGGCACGTTCCCTCCGGAGGTGATACCTCGGATCCACTACTACAACGTGCCAGCTCAAACGGACCCGAGCTCGCCGATGAACCCGTGGTACACCCTCAAGGCCACCGCACGCCCAGGCGATTTCGTGGTGGTCAAGCTGGACGTGGATCATCAGCAAACAGAGCTCGCCCTCGTCCGACAGCTGCTCGCCGACCCTGAGCTGGCCGGGCCGATCGACGACTTTTCCTGGGAGCACCACGTCGCGGGCTCGATCGTCGGCTGCCCCAAGCTATGGAGAGTTGGGTCCACAAGCGGCTGGGCCCTGATGGCGTTCGATTCGACGCTCGGGGCATTGGAGACGCTGGCTGAGTCATACGGTATCTTCCTGCAGCTCTGCTGCAGAGGCATTCGAGCGCATTCGTGGGTCTGATGCACCTCCTCCTGGGCTGAGTTTTGCCGCAGAATGCTTTGTACACCACCACAGAAGCGAAGCTGAAGCTGATGCACACAAGCTCCGCCGGCTACCGGTGAAAGCTCAAGCTGAAGAAAGCTCTGCCATTGTTGAAATTGTAGAAAATCATGGAAATTTGACTTTGTTGCTCTGTTATATCCAAAACGATCTCTTTATTACAGACGGTCCCATCTCAATTTTACAATTTAACTTACACGAATAAATATGATTCGCGCTCAGCTTCAAAGTTCACACTGTAGTGACTTTCAGGGTACAACGAACTTAATTATGTAACTATATATGTATATAATAGTGCGGAAATACAGTTCGGTAGAATTATTCAATTCCAACTAGTTAGTTAACGGTAACAATAAAATACAACTACTTCTGTCGGCTACCGGACACGACAGTAGCGAGTGGCCGTGCCCGCCGACGGCTACTGCACAGTCGCAGAGGCTGAAGGCTCGATGGGCGCGACCGTGGCGGCTCATAGGCGTCAGGCGAGGGTGGTGCTGCGCACGGGCCGCTCCCGCGCCTGCCCGCGGCATCGACCCGTCGCCTGCGGGCGCCCCTACTACTCTTCGCTCCGCCGCTTGCCCCCCATCCTGCCCGCGCTCATCGCGCGGCCGCGCGCCCCGATGCCACCGCGCCCCCCGAAGCCGCGTACGAGCCAGCCGAAGCCGTGCGGGTCGGCGCCCTTGCGCGTGCTGTTCGGCTCGCCCGCTTCCGAGCCGCCGCCTGCAAAAAGGTGATGTTTAGTAAAGTGGAGTCAGCCTTGGAAGAATACTGAAAATGATAGGCGAGGATGGTACAAATCATGGCTAAAAAAAAAAAAAAAAAAACATACCGTAGGCGCTGCTCATTTGAGTGAGCCTTACAATAATACTGACAACGATAGCAAGAATGATACCCCCCCCCCCCCCCCCCCCCCC